TACTTCTACTTGCACTTAGGTCACACGACACATACATGTACAAGCAAATATATACACACACTCCTCTGGGTTTTCTTCTATTTTCTTTCTAGTTCTTGTTTTTGTTTATTTCCTCTTACCTCCATGGGGAAGTGGAACAGAATTCTTTTTCTGTAAGCCATGCATGTTGTAAGAGGCGACTAAACTGCCGGGAGCAAGGGGCTAGTAACCCTTTCTCCTGTATATATTACTAAATGTAAAAGGAGAAACTTTCGTTTTTCCTTTTGGGCCACCCTGCCTCGGTGGGATACGGCCAGTGTGTTGAAAGATAGATTCACTTCTTCCATACTCCCTCCCTCCAATGTGATATCCAATTTTTCTTTACCTAAGATTTTTGATGCCCTCACCACCCTCCTCTTAACTATGTTCACTCTCGACCTTCTACCTTTACACACCCTCCCAAACTCGTCCACTAACCTTTGAAACTTTTCTTTAAAATCTCCCAAAAGCACAGTATCATCAGCAAAAAGTAACTGTCAACTCTCATTTTGTATTTGATTCCCCATAATTTAATCCCACCCCTCTCCCCAACAATCTAGCATTTACTTCTTTTACAGCCCCATCTATAAATATGTTAAACAACCATGGTGACATTACACATCCCAGTCTAAGACCTACTTTTACTGGGAAGTAATCTCTCTCTCTCTCCTACATACCCTAACCTGAGCTTCACTATCCTCATAAAAACTTTTTACAGCATTTAGTAACTTACTACCTATTCCATACACTTGCAACATCTGCCACATTGCTCCCCTATCCACTGTCATATGCCTTTTCTAAATCCAGAAATGCAATGAAAACTTCCCTACCTTTATCTAAATATTATTTATTTTTTATTATCACACCGGCCGATTCCCACCAAGGCAGGGTGGCCCGAAAAAGAAAAACTTTCACCATCATTCACTCCATCACTGTCTTGCCAGAAGGGTGCTTTACACTACAGTTTTTAAACTGCAACATTAACACCCCTCCTTCAGAGTGCAGGCACTGTACTTCCCATCTCCAGGACTCAAGTCCGGCCTGCCGGTTTCCCTGAATCCCTTCATAAATGTTACTTTGCTCACACTCCAACAGCACGTCAAGTATTAAAAACCATTTGTCTCCATTCACTCCTATCAAACACGCTCACGCATGCCTGCTGGAAGTCCAAGCCCCTCGCACACAAAACCTCCTTTACCCCCTCCCTCCAACCCTTCCTAGGCCGACCCCTACCCCGCCTTCCTTCCACTACAGAGTGATACACTCTTGAAGTCATTCTGTTTCGCTCCATTCTCTCTACATGTCCGAACCACCTCAACAACCCTTCCTCAGCCCTCTGGACAACAGTTTTGGTAATCCCGCACCTCCTCCTAACTTCCAAACTACGAATTCTCTGCATTATATTCACACCACACATTGCCCTCAGACATGACATCTCCACTGCCTCCAGCCTTCTCCTCGCTGCAACATTCATCACCCACGCTTCACACCCATATAAGAGCGTTGGTAAAACTATACTCTCATACATTCCCCTCTTTGCCTCCAAGGACAAAGTTCTTTGTTTCCACAGACTCCTAAGTGCACCACTCACTCTTTTTCCCTCATCAATTCTATGATTCACCTCATCTTTCATAGACCCATCCGCTGACACGTCCACTCCCAAATATCTGAATACGTTCACCTCCTCCATACTCTCTCCCTCCAATCTGATATTCAATCTTTCATCACCTAATCTTTTTGTTATCCTCATAACCTTACTCTTTCCTGTATTCACCTTTAATTTTCTTCTTTTGCACACCCTACCAAATTCATCCACCAATCTCTGCAACTTCTCTTCAGAATCTCCCAAGAGCACAGTGTCATCAGCAAAGAGCAGCTGTGACAACTCCCACTTTGTGTGTGATTCTTTATCTTTTAACTCCACGCCTCTTGCCAAAACCCTCGCATTTACTTCTCTTACAACCCCATCTATAAATATATTAAACAACCACGGTGACATCACACATCCTTGTCTAAGGCCTACTTTTACTGGGAAAAAATTTCCCTCTTTCCTACATACTCTAACTTGAGCCTCACTATCCTCGTAAAAACTCTTCACTGCTTTCAGTAACCTACCTCCTACACCATACACTTGCAACATCTGCCACATTGCCCCCCTATCCACCCTGTCATACGCCTTTTCCAAATCCATAAATGCCACAAAGACCTCTTTAGCCTTATCTAAATACTGTTCACTTATATGTTTCACTGTAAACACCTGGTCCACACACCCCCTACCTTTCCTAAAGCCTCCTTGTTCATCTGCTATCCTATTCTCCGTCTTACTCTTAATTCTTTCAATTATAACTCTACCATACACTTTACCAGGTACACTCAACAGACTTATCCCCCTATAATTTTTGCACTCTCTTTTATCCCCTTTGCCTTTATACAAAGGAACTATGCATGCTCTCTGCCAATCCCTAGGTACCTTACCCCCTTCCATACATTTATTAAATAATTGCACCAACCACTCCAAAACTATATCCCCACCTGCTTTTAAAAATTTCTTCTTTATCCCATCAATCCGGCTGCCTTACCCCTTTCATTTTACCTACTGCCTCACGAACTTCCCCCACAAATCACAACTGGCTCTTTCCCCACTCCTACAAGATGTTTATTCCTCCTTGCCCTATACACGAAATCACAGCTTCCCTATCTTCATCAACATTTAACAATTCCTCAAAATATTCCTTCCATCTTCCCAATACCTCTAACTCTCCATTTAATAACTCTCCTCTCCTATTTTTAACTGACAAATCCATTTGTTCTCTAGGCTTTCTTAACTTGTTAATCTCACTCCAAAACTTTTTCTTATTTTCAACAAAATTTGTTGATAACATCTCACCCACTCTCTCATTTGCTCTCTTTTTACATTGCTTCACCACTCTCTTAACTTCTCTCTTTTTCTCCATATACTCTTCCCTCCTTGCATCACTTCTACTTTGTAAAAACTTCTCATATGCTAACTTTTTCTCCCTTACTACTCTCTTTACATCATCATTCCACCAATCTAAATACTAAATACTAAATATCTAAATACTGTTCACATATATGCTTCAATGTAAACACTTGATCTACACATCCCCTACCTATTCTAAAGCCTCCTTGCTAATCTGCAATCTGCTCTCTGTCTTACCTCTAATTCTCTCGATAATAACCTTACCATACATTATCTGGTATTCTCAGTAAACTTATTCCCCTATAATTTTTACAATCTCTTTTGTCCCCATTCCCTTTATATAAAGGAATTATACATGCTCTCTGGCTATCTTTAAGTACCTTCCCCTCTTTCATATATTTATTAAACAAAAATACTAACCACTTCAACACTATCTCCCTGTGCTTTTAACATTTCTATCATGATCCTGTCAGTTCCAGCTGTTTTACCCCCCTTTCATTTTACATAATGCCTCACACACCTCACCCCCACTCACATCCTGCTCTTCTTCACTCCTAAAAGATGTTGTACCTCTCTGGCCAGTGCAAGAAATTACTGCCTCCCTTCCTTCATCGACAATTATAAGTTTCTCAAAATATTCCTGCCATCTGCCAAATGCCTCCAGCTCCCCATCTACTAACTCCCCTACTTTGCTTTTAACTGACAAATCCATTCATTCCCTAGACTTTCTTAACTTGTTTATGTCACTCCAAAATTTTTCTTATTCTCAGCAAAATTTCTTGACAGTGCCTCTCCCACTATCATTTCTCTCCTTTAGCACTCTCTCATCATTCTCTTCACCTTCCTTTTACTCTCCATATACTCTGCCTTTCTAATGTCACTTCTGCTTAGTAAAAACTTCTCATAAGCTGCCTATTTCTTTTTTATCGCACCCTTTACCTCATCATTCCACCAATCACTCCTTTCTTCCTGCACCCACCCTCCTATAGCCACAAACTTCTGCCCCACACTCTAATACTACATTTTTAAAACTATCCCATCCCTGTGCAACCCCCCCCCCCACAACCCATACTTGCACTAACCCATGTTTCAGCCAATAGTTGCTTAGATCTCACCCTAACTTCCTCCTCCCTTAGTTTATAAACTTTCACCTCTCTCTTACTTACTGTTGCCATTTTCCTTTTGTCCCCATCTACCTCTTACTCTAACTGTAATTACAACTAGATATGATCCGATATATCCATTGCCCCTCTATAAACATGTATGTTCTGAAGCCTATCCATCAACCTTTTATCCACCAATACATAATCTATATAAGTATACAAGATATGATATGCTATATCATATCTTGTATACTTATTTATCCTCTTTTTCATGAAATACGTATTACTTATTACCAAACCTGTTTCTACACATAGTTAAATTGAAGGCTCCCCATTTTCATTTATCCCTGACACCCAAATTTACCTACTACTCCCTATACAACATTTTTACACACTTTAGCATTGAGATCCCCAACTGTAAGTACTCTCTCACTTGGTTCAAAACTTCTCACACACTCAACATTTCCCAAAATCTCAATCTCTCTCTCAATCTCTCTCTCAATCTCTCTCTCAATCTCAATCTCAATCTCAATCTCTCTCTTCTCCAAGTGCATAAACACTTACTATAACCCACTTTTCACATCCAACCCTTATTTAACTCCACATAATCTTTGAATTTATACATTTATATTCCTTCTTTTCCTGCCATAGCTTATCCTTCAACATCACTGCTACTCCTTCCTTAGCTCTAACTCTATTAGAAACCCCTGACCTAATCCCAATATATTTCTTCCCATTGAATCTCTCCTATGCCCTACCAGGACATCCAGCTACTTTTCATTCATAACATCCACTCACAAAAATGTTTAATCAGAAGACTGGGTGCCACAGGAAAAGCTCTACTCCTGTAACTACAAATGGCTTGATTTATGTATCTATCATACATTCAAATTGCCCATTGCTAAGCAAAGGCTTAAATGAAATTTGAAATACTCTACCTTCTTGGATTAGGAACATCTTTCTTGTGAGATAACATGGTGTAACGGCCAATATTTGCAGGATAACGTGATATAAAAAAGCCATGATATTTTATTCTGTTGGACATATCATCGTCTTCTCCTCCCCAGCCCCAGAATTTGTTGCTGAAGCCATTAACTTTTCTAAACTGCTCTACAGTCATGGCACTTACTCCACCAAATATATCATTGTATGGTAACCTGCAAAGAAACAATTAGAATATTAAATCCTGTATATTATGTATAAAAAGGGCTAATTTTCATAGAGTACAGCAACAGCATATCACCCACAAGCAGAGAACAAACTTGTTCTCCTTTCTTGCTTACCTTTAAATTCACTAACCCTCATTCCAACCACTCTTCCCTGTCTCTCACTTGCCCACCCTCTCACTTGTTAGCTTCTTGCCTACCCTGGCTGTAGCCTTACTATTTTTCAAATATCCACAAAGGACCTGCAAATGCTGTAGATTATTCAAGGAACTGGCAAATTTGTGAATTACAGTGAAGGTGGCCGTATGACCAATGCATAAATACTGATAAAATAAAAGTGACACATGAGATCCAAAGGAAAGTGGATAATTAGAAAATTTTGTGTCAATACAACAGGACCACAGAAAGAGGAGAGGATGAGCTAGTAAGGTTCAATCTAGTAGTCACCATAAGCAAATCTGATGGAGGTGAAACAACAGAGCTCCCCCAAGGTGCTAAGAACCATTCAGTACTGAGTCACAAATGTGTTGTGGAAATAAACAAGGAGAGAACTATAGAATGGAAGGTATAATAGCATAGTTAGAATGTAGTGCGATGGAAAAGGAAAAGAAAACTAAAAGAAAAGACAATAGATGAGGTGATAGAGTATTTAGTTGCAGAAGATGCGATGCATTAACACAAGAGTCCATGCATTACCCAGAGATGCAGAGAGGCAAAAACTAAAATTAAAAGAACTTAGGAATAATATAAGCAATAATGGATAGCAGAAAACAGAAGTGAGCAGACTAATAACAAAAACAATAATAATGTGTGGTGTGAATATAATGCAGAGAATTCGTAGTTTGGAAGTTAGGAGGAGGTGCGGGATTACCAAAACTGTTGTCCAGAGGGCTGAGGAAGGGTTGTTGAGGTGGTTCGGACATGTAGAGAGAATGGAGCGAAACAGAATGACTTCAAGAGTGTATCAGTCTGTAGTGGAAGGAAGGCGGGGTAGGGGTCGGCCTAGGAAAGGTTGGAGGGAGGGGGTAAAGGAGGTTTTGTGTGCGAGGGGCTTGGACTTCCAGCAGGCGTGCGTGAGCGTGTTTGATAGGAGTGAATGGAGACGAATGGTTTTTAATACTTGACGTGCTGTTGGAGTGTGAGCAAAGTAACATTTATGAAGGGGTTCAGGGAAACCGGCAGGCCGGACTTGAGTCCTGGAGATGGGAAGTACAGTGCCTGCACTCTGAAGGAAGGGTGTTGATGTTGCAGTTTAAAAACTGTAGTGTAAAGCACCCTTCTGGCAAGACAGTGATGGAGTGAATGATGGTGAAAGTTTTTCTTTTTCGGGCCACCCTGCCTTGGTGGGAATCGGCCAGTGTGATAATAATAAAAAAAAAATAAATAAATAATAATAATAATAATAATAATAGATTATTAATGTTATTAACCCTTTGAGGGTTTTCGTCGTACTAGTACGTCTTACGCGTAGGGGTTTTTGACGTACTAGTACTCATAAATTCTAGCGACCTCAAATCTAGTGGGAGAAAGCTGGTAGGCCTTCATATGAAAGAATGGGTCTATGTGGTCAGTGTGCACAGTCTAAAAAAAATCCTGCAGCACACGGTGCATAATGAGAAAAAAAAACTTTTTCCATTTTTTTTTAATAAATCAGCGACTTTGCAGTGTATTTTCGTATAGTATTTATTGTTGTATTCTAGTTTTCTTGGTCTCATTTTATAGAATGGAAGACATATTACTGAAATTGGGATGATTTTGACTGGTTTTACAATGAAAGGTGCCTTGAAATTGAGCTCAAAGTAGCAGAAATGTTCGATTTTTACCAAACTTCAAAAGTAAACAAATCGTGCCAAGCGTGCAATACACGTCAACTGGTGAGTCTAATATTCTTTCACAAGTGCACCAATAATATTTATACCATTTTTTACACTAATGCAGTAGTCTGCATAACAGTAAATCTTATATTTTTTGTGAGAATAAAAATTCAAAGTGGAAAGCAAAAGAATATAAGAGGGGCCTTGAGACGTGACTAATGACTAGAGGAAATGTCATTTTAGTGCCAGGAATGTCTTTCTTGTTTATTCTGGACCCTATTCCGAAATTGGCATCTTTTGAAATTCGTGTGAAATTGGCAAAATTGCTTAATTCTGACCACTGTACTGGATAGTTGAATTTATAAATGGGTGGTTTCTTGCACCCATTCGATAGAAAAAATGGAGTTCTAGCGAAATATTCATGTTTTTTGTCGACTAGTACAGTGAAATTGGCCGAAAATGGGGCTCAAAGTGGGCAAAATCGCCGATCCGTAAACATCGCCGAGACCGCTAACTTTGCGAGAGCATAATTCCGTAAGTTTTCTATCAAATTTCAAACTTTTGGTGTCGTTATGATCGGGAAAAGATTCTCTATCTTTTCATAAGAGAAAATAATTTTTTTTTTTTTTAAATTTGGCCGACCCTGAGAACGAGTTTCGGAGAGGGCCTGTCGACCCTCAAAGGGTTAATGTTGAAGGATAAGCTATGGCAGGAAAAGAGGGACTACAAATGTATAAATTCAAGGATTATGTGGAGTAAAATAAAGATTGGATGTGAAAAGTGGGTTATAGTAAGCGTGTATGCACCTGGAGAAGAGAGAAGTGTAGAGGAGAGAGAGAGATTCTGGGAAATGTTGAGTGAATGCGTGGGGAGTTTTGAATCAAGTGTGAGAGTAATGGTGGTTGGGGATTTCAATGCTAAAGTGGGTAAAAATGTTATAGAGGGAGTAGTAGGTAAATTTGGGATGCCAGGGGTAAATGTAAATGGGGAGCCTTTAATTGAGCTATGTGTAGAAAGAAATTTGGTAATAAGTAATACATATTTTATGAAAAAGAAGATAAATAAATATACAAGGTATGATGTAGCACGTAATGAAAGTAGTTTGTTAGATTATGTATTGGTGGATAAAAGGTTGATGGGTAGGCTCCAGGATGTACATGTTTATAGAGGGGCAACTGATATATCGGATCATTATTTAGTTGTAGCTACAGTTAGAGTAAGAGGTAGATGGGAAAAGAGGAAGGTGGCAACAACAAGTAAGAGGGAGGTGAAAGTGTATAAACTAAGGGAGGAGGAAGTTCGGGCGAGATATAAACGACTATTGGCAGAAAGGTGCGCTAGTGCAAAGATGAGTAGTGGGGGGGTTGAAGAGGGTTGGAATAGTTTTAAAAATGCAGTATTAGAATGTGGGGCAGAAGTTTGTGGATATAAAAGGGTGGGGGCAGGAGGAAAGAGGAGTGATTGGTGGAATGATGAAGTAAAGGGTGTGATAAAAGAGTAAAAGGTAGCTTACGAGAGGTTTTTACAAAGCAGAAGTGATATAAGAAGAGCAGAGTATATGGAGAGTAAAAGAAAGGTGAAGAGAGTGGTGAGAGAGTGCAAAAGGAGAGCAGATGAAAGAGTGGGAGAGGCACTGTCAAGAAATTTTAATGAAAATAAGAAAAAATTTTGGAGTGAGTTAAACAAGTTAAGAAAGCCTAGGGAAAGTATGGATTTGTCAGTTAAAAACAGAGTAGGGGAGTTAGTAGATGGGGAGAGGGAGGTATTAGGTAGATGGAGAGAATATTTTGAGGAACTTTTAAATGTTGAGGAAGAAAGGGAGGCGGTAATTTCATGCACTGGCCAGGGAGGTATACCATCTTTTAGGAGTGAAGAAGAGCAGAATGAAAGTGTGGTGGAGGTACGTGAGGCATTACGTAGAATGAAAGGGGGTAAAGCAGCTGGAACTGATGGGATCATGACAGAAATGTTAAAAGCAGGGGGGGATATAGTGTTGGAGTGGTTGGTACTTTTGTTTAATAAATGTATGAAAGAGGGGAAGGTACCTAGGGATTGGCAGAGAGCATGTATAGTCCCTTTATATAAAGGGAAGGGGACAAAAGAGATTGTAAAAATTATAGAGGAATAAGTTTACTGAGTATACCAGGAAAAGTATACGGTAGGGTTATAACTGAAAGAATTAGAGGTAAGACAGAATGTAGGATTGCGGATGAGCAGGGAGGCTTCAGAGTGGGTAGGGGATGTGTAGATCAAGTGTTTACATTGAAGCATATATGTGAACAGTATTTAGATAAAGGTAGGGAAGTTTTTATTGCATTTATGGATTTAGAAAAGGCATATGATAGAGTGGATAGAGGAGCAATGTGGCAGATGTTGCAAGTATATGGAATAGGTGGTAAGTTACTAAATGCTGTAAAGAGCTTTTATGAGGATATTGAGGCTCAGGTTAGGGTGTGTAGAAGAGAGGGAGAATACTTCCCAGTAAAAGTAGGTCTTAGACAGGGATGTGTAATGTCACCATGGTTGTTTAATATATTTATAGATGGGGTTGTAAAAGAAGTAAATGCTAGGGTGTTTGGGAGAGGGGTGGGATTAAATTATGGGGAATCAAATTCAAAATGTAAATTGACACAGTTACTTTTTGCTGATGATACTGTGCTTATGGGAGATTCTAAAGAAAAATTGAAAAGGTTAGTGGATGAGTTTGAGAATGTGTGTAAAGGTAGAAAGTTGAAAGTGAACATAGAAAAGAGCAAGGTGATGAGGGTATCAAATGATTTAGATAAAGAAAAATTGGATATCAAATTGGGGAGGAGGAGTATGGAAGAAGTGAATGTTTTCAGATACTTGGGAGTTGACGTGTTGGCGGATGGATTTATGAAGGATGAGGTTAATCATAGAATTGATGAGGGAAAAAAGGTGAGTGGTGCGTTGAGGTATATGTGGAGCCAAAAAACGTTATCTATGGAGGCAAAGAAGGGAATGTATGAAAGCATAGTAGTACCAACACTCTTATATGGATGTGAAGCTTGGGTGGTAAATGCAGCAGCGAGGAGACGGTTGGAGGCAGTGGAGATGTCCTGTCTAAGGGCAATGTGTGGTGTAAATATTATGCAGAAAATTCGGAGTGTGGAAATTAGGAGAAGGTGTGGAGTTAATAAAAGCATTAGTCAGAGGGCAGAAGAGGGGTTGTTGAGGTGATTTGGTCATTTAGAGAGAATGGATCAAAGTAGAATGACATGGAAAGCATATAAATCTATAGGGGAAGGAAGGAGGGGTAGGGGTCGTCCTCGAAAGGGTTGGAAAGAGGGGGTAAAGGAGGTTTTGTGGGCTAGGGGCTTGGATTTCCAGAAAGCATGCATGAGCGTGTTAGATAGGAGTGAATGGAGGCGAATGATACTTAGGACCTGACGATCTGTTGGAGTGTGAGCAGGGTAATATTTAGTGAAGGGATTCAGGGAAACCGGTTATTTTCATATAGTCGGACTTGAGTCCTGGAAATGGGAAGTACAATGCCTGCACTTTAAAGGAGGGGTTTGGGATATTGGCTGTTTGGAGGGATACGTTGTGTATCTTTATACGTATATGCTTCTAAACTGTTGTATTCTGAGCACCTCTGCAAAAGCAGTGATAATATGTGAGTGTGGTGAAAGTATTGAATGATGATGAAAGTATTTTCTTTTTGGGGATTTTCTTTCTTTTTTGGGTCACCCTGCCTCGGTGAGAGACGGCCGACTTGTTGAAAAAAAAAATAAATAAAAAAAATAATAATAATAATAATTAAATTTCCCAAGAAGTATATACGAGTTAAAATTTTATGGAAATCCTGTAATTCACATTATTTAAGGACTTTCAGTATTCAGTATTATTTATAACAAAGTTGTCATGTCTTTACCTATTCCATGCCTGCTACTGGTGTTACATTACTGTATTACTATACTGGAATATGTTAATCATATTTCTGACAAGTCAATGTTTTTTGTTTAATTAACTTAAAAGGTTTCATGGGGTTTACATTTCTGCTGAAAAGTTAATCCATTCTATAACTACATAGTATGTATTTGCACTGAATTCTCAAATCCAGTTCCTTGGCAGTCTGTCCATCATACAATTAGTAACCTCCTTTACAATAATATGGTAAATGCCATCAGGCAACACTGTTGTGGAATTTTTAACATAGTTGAGAGCATGTGCCATGAAGAGGATTTGGAGCATAGAAATTAAAAGGGAAACCAAGGGTATTATAATTCAAGAGGGCTGAGTAGTGGCTGTCAAGATGGTTTAGGCATGTAGAGAGGATTAAGAGGGTGTATCTTTTTCTAATATAAAACTATATAATTATTATAAACATGGGTTAATCACAGACAGGCACAGCATGCTTTGTCCACTTTGAGATTAATCTTTATGATAAACATCTAGACAAGAACATCACTTCACAACTCTCAAACTCAAGACATTCTGAAAGATGCATCACAAGATAAAGCAGGCATAAGAATGTGTAAATACATAGTATACACTGTATACTGGTACTATGTAGTAACCACTAGTAGAAGGCATTGCTTACTTTCTCAACAATCACCTCACACAGTATTCAGTCACTAAACTGCAGCTTAGTGAAGAGCTGTAGCTTTCATTACCCAGATCTTGGGATCAAATTTTCAGTCAAAAAAATCAGCCACTTTTTCCCTTGCTCTAAAATTGTTGACTTGCATATAAGTATACACATAATTTATTGTTGGAATTTCATGTAAATATTTTTTTATTAACACATCAGCCATCTCCCACCAAGGCAGGGTGGCCCAAAGAAGAAAAACTTTCATCATCATCATCCATTCCATCACTGTCTTGCCAGAGGCGTGCTCATACTACAGTTATAAAACTGCAACATTAACACCCCTCCTTCAGAATGCAGACACAGTACTTCACATCTCCAGGACTCAAGTCTGGCCTGCCAGTTTCCCTGAAGCCCTTCACAAATATTACCTTGCTCACACTCCAACAGCACATCAAGTCCTAAAAACCATTTGCCTCCATTCGCTCCTATTTAACACACACACACATGCCTGCTGGAAGCCCAAGCCCCTCACACACAAAACCTCCTTGACTCCTTCCCTCCAACCTTTCCTAAGCTGACGCCAACCCCGCCTTCCCTCCACTACAGATTTATATACTCTCAAAGTTATTCTATTTCATTCCATCCTTTCTACATCTCCAAACCACCTCAACCCCTCCTCAGCCCTCTGGATAATAATTTTGGTAATCCCGCACCTCCTAATTTCCAAACCACAGACTCTCATGTAAATAAAGAATAAATTAATTTAACATTACGGCCACGTGTTAGCAGGCAGCCTGCCTCAAGTTTCTGGTCTTCACACTTGCTCTTCTTGCATATCTTTATCATTCACCAGCATACATAAAAATGCCAGAAACTTAACTGGTACAAAAAAAAAAAAAAAAAAAAAAAAAAAAAAAAAAAAAAAAAAAAATTCAAATTCCTTGCAAAAAGTGAATGAAATAAGATTTATAATCATTCAGTCATTAATCACTTGAACTTATATTGAGCTGGTGGCAGCATCTGAAATTGTAAAATAAAATTTGCTTTCAGATTTTTATCCCACACATAAAAGTAGGAATAATCATAGCAAATGAATCTGCAAGGCCATGAATTGGGGAGGGGAGCCCAGGGGATCTTATCATTTGATGGATTCTTGTAAGTGTGATGTCTGTACATTTTCTGGAAAGAGCTAGTGATGATGAATGTATTTTCTAAAAAATCTTATGAAGTGTAGAATAAAATCTAAGATTTGGTATTCTAACTGTAAAATAATGAATTATTAGTCAAACTATTTCAATTTTGTGGTAAGCAGGAAATAGTCCGATAAACTGCAAATTATCATCAGTTTCAATTAAAAGTGTAATAATGTATTTGCCTTCATTCAGTCAGCCTGCTATGGCAGGAAGCAACCAACAGTTTTATATTTAAGTTATATTAATTATACAGGAGGGCCTAGTTTTTACATGTTAGGTTCCTAACTCCTGGTGATAAGCGAAAATTGCCAGCGAGTGAAAAAGAGCTTTTTTTCAATCCCGAATGCATCTAAAATGCCTGCTAATGTGTTTACATTTATCATATATTAAGTCCTCAATACAGCTAGGCATAAAAAAACAGATACAAAAGTAAAAACACACAATACATACAATACTTATCTTAAAATATCATACCTGTCACCCTTCCCTTACATAACTGTTGCACAAAAATAGCAGAAAAAGCACCAAACATAATGAACAACGACTCAATTGAAAACCACCAAAAACATGGAACACTGAAAAGAAGGTGCAGAACATGTGGGGCTCTCCTGTATTCTTAAAATTAAGTTATACCAAAGACTGTGCTAAGACACCTAGCCATAATCTGACAGGCTATCATGAACATTAACAAAGACAGTACTGAAAGGAACATACCTGTATTTCATGCTATCAATGGCAATAGACATGTGACGAGGCTGCTCAGGACAGGTATAGAGGTTACGGTCATCCTCCGGTATAAGATCAACATCATGAAAAATGAAGCAGTCATACTGGTACTGTTTAAGTGCCTCCAAGGCTCCAACATTCATTAACATTGCTCGGTTAAATTTTCCAGTACCTGAAAGCAGGCATTAGTTATCAACATATGTAAGTTTCTTCCTGCCTACCATTTATGTCAACAGTCATCTTCATATAAACACCAACGAAATTCACTCCCAAATTATTTGTCAAGAAAATATTGAATGCAGTAATTAACCCTTTCAGGGTTTCCGACGTACTAGTAAGGCTTACGCACCAGGTTTATTGACGTACTAGTATGCCTAAATTCTAGCGCCTTCAAATCTAGCAAGAGAAAGCTGGTAGGCATACATACGCAAGAATGGGTCTATGTGGTCAGTGTGCGCAGTATAAAAAAATCCAGCAGCACACAGTGCGCAATGAGAAAAAAAAACTTTGACCGTGTTTTTGGTTTAAAACAGCGACTTTGCACTGTATTTTCATATGGCATTTATGGTTGTATTCTAGTTTCCCTGGTTTCATTTTATAGAATGGAAGACATAGAAATTGAAATGATTTTGATTGGGAAAAGATTATCTATCTTTTCACGAGAAAAAATCTTTTTTTTTTTTTCCAAAAATTTTTCAACCCTGAGAACAAGTTTAGGAGAGGGCCTCTCGACTCTGAAAGGGTTAAACTACCCTTGAATATTTAGTCTGAAAAAAAAATCTTTGCTGCACAGGACAGGGTACTTTTAATTATTTTCACCTTACATCATTAATCAATCAAATTCCATACAACAAATGAAACCAACAAAGTGACTGTTGCTGAGCATACTGCAATTATCTTCACAAATTTTGACCCTACTGTATTAAGGAAAGAACCTATTTACTGTGGTTAGCTTAAACACAGGAAATCAGTGATAAGGTTAAGAATGTGGTTAAGGTAATGCATCTTCAACATCCCAGAACACAGATATGAATATGTACCCAAGTAGTCTTTAGTTGTACTACTGGCATATATCAGATCCAGGCATACTTTCACCATGTCTAAGGCACAGAATATCAATTTCACACAAAATATGGCATCTCTTCTGGCTATTTTTTGGGGGGAAAGCACCCTAAGTGTTACAAAAGATCAAGAAGCTATGTTCCTTTTTACATCAGACACCAATAAGTAACCCCTCACTCCAAGGTTATACTTTCTTCTGAAAAACAAAAAAAAAATTCATAACATTCAGCATATACAGATGATTTTAAAATTACTGGTCTGAGAAGTGTTCCAGATTCTGCCCAACGACAACTTTATGCAACTATCTACCCTTGTCCAATAAACACAATACAATTTAGTTTAATCAAACCAAGGCTATCATTTCAGCCTACATTTTGTTGGTGTTCAAATGGATAATATTAAAACTATATTCAGACTCATTTTTGTGTTGATAATGCAACAATAAGTTCACTGTTTGACCAAACAATCATTACTTTAAAAGCCATAAGCAAAAAGCTCAGCCTAAACAGTACATTTACACATACTGTACGGTATATACAGTCTCTCCTCACTTAACGACATACTTGTTTAACGACTGCTTGGACTTACAGCCAGTTCTCCGACCAGTATGCATACCAAAGCAATGTACGTATATTAAGAGCTGATTTCCTCTATTCTGTTTATTACAATATACAGTACACTACTGTGTAAATGGTGCAAAGGTGACATTAAAACAATATCTAAAGATGGTTGACACAAACTCACTACCAGTATAGTATGCTCCTCACTTAATGACCAATTCATTTATCGACCTACTCTTTGAGGGTCCGTCCCATAGCTCTACGGCTTTGATGCCAGGGTCTAAGCCGTAGAACTACGTCATTATTCTAGCAGCTTCAAATTTAGCGTGAGAAAGCTGGCAGGCCTACATCTAAGAGTGGGTCTGCGTGATCAGCGTGCGCAGTAAAAAAAAATCGGGGCACTCGCATTGCACTGTGGGAACACCATCTCGGTATGCTTTGGTCATCATGCCTCACGGTAAGGAAGCTCTCACTCCCCAGCAAATTGGGAAGCTCCTCTTCCCAAGTGATAGAACTGACATGGATGGAAGTGGAGCTGAAGAGGAATTCTATGGTTCTGAACAATTTGTGACCAAAAGCAATGCTCAGGGTATCGACAATAGTGCTGAAAATCCTGATGCCCCCTATGGTGCTGGTGCATCTCAGTCACATTCAGTTGTACCTCGTTGCAAAAGAAAACTAACATTTTCGCGTGGCCATGCCTTGGATTTGAGTAATGGTGATGATAGTGACATGGACTTTGATTTTACTGCTCATGATGATCATTCGAGTAGCGATAGTGAAGAATCATATTCGCCAGTGAAATGTCAGTTTATGTGAAGCTGCATACGCTCAGGAGTGTACCATTCACAATTCCAAGGGGATGGAGTACATCCCGTAGCCCTACACCTGGAATAGACAGTGATGTGGCTACAATTGGCATGGATAGACCACATGCATCATTAGGTGGTGGTGCCACAGGCATGTGGCACCAGCCCAGGCTGGGACTCAAGCTGCTGACTCAGCAGGTCCAGGACAAAGGGCATTGTCAACCAGCCCCACACCACAATTTGCACAACCAAAATTACAACCACAACCAGCTAATGATGTCCAGTACCCACCAGCAAACTGCACCTGGGATTGGCAGCAAAATCCCAATTTTGTTCCCAATCCCCCATCAATTTGTTAACACTCAAAGTGGATTCCTGCCATCTTGTTCCCTTGGTAACATTGCAAGTGAACTGCATTATTTGAACTATTCTTTGACCAGCCCTTGATGGAAAATATTGTCAGGGAAAGTAACAAGTATTTTGATTACACCATGGCAAATACAGTGGAACCTCAAATATCGAACTTTCTTCGGTCCAGAAGGCTGTTCGAGTGCCTTTACCGAATGAATTTATTCCCATCAGGAATAATGTAAATTAGATTAGTCCATTTCAGACCCTCAAAAATACACTTATAAAAGCACTTACAAAAATACATTTACATAATTGGTCGTGTTGGGAGCAGTTCGATTTTTGAGGTTCCACTGTACAATGATTTCACTATGGTCAAGACTACACCGGTGGAAGACGACAACTGTGGCTGAATAGTATTTGTTTTGGGCAACAGTAATGCTTATGCCTCATGCCTATAAGCATAATATAAAATCATACTGGCCCACAGATGGGTTAATTTCTACCCTGGCCTTCAGTGATATCATCCCAGTTAACAGATTTTTTCTACTGTTGCATATGCTGCATTTCTCTGACAAAACCAAGCCAACAGAAATGACAGGTTATACAAGATTAGAAATGTTTTCATGTATCTGAAACAAAAGTTCAACATGTAATTTTATCTGTTCAAGAATCTTGTAATTGACTAAGTCTTTGATTTGTTCAAAGGTAGACTGTCATTTAAGCAGTATAAATAACAAAGAGAGACAATACCGAGGCTGGAACAATACACAAATAACCCACACATAGAAGAGAGAAGCTTACGATGACGTTTCGGTCCGACTTGGACCATTTACAAAGTCACACTTGCAGTGCTCCTCTTTCTTAGTATTTGACTATCTCCACACTACTACCTTTACCACTGCCTCTCTTGTCCCATTCCTGTCTGCTGGCGTATATATACTCCCTCCCTTCTCTCCTTTTTGTTAGTGTGACTTTGTAAATGTCCAAGTCGGACTGAAACATCGTCATAAGCTCCTCTCTCCTATGCGCAGGTTATGTATTCAAGCAGTCTATACCAAGCAAGAGGAAACGTTTTGGTATAAAACTATTTGAACTCTGTGACTGTGACAGTGGCCTGGTACTGGATATAATTGCATAAACAGGAAGTAAAACATTAGAAGATACCAGGATGTTATTGGGTATCTCAGGTGATGTAGTGAGAGCAATGATGGTACCATATCTTGGTAATGGGCATATATTATATACGTACTGATAACTGGCACACCAGCTCCTTACTCTTTGATTTCTTGCAATTGAACATGACAGAGGTGTGTGGCACAGTGTGTTCTAATCATAAACATATGTCCAGGTTCAACACAGGCATTTGTAGTGGTGAGGTGCAGGTGTTTACTGCCAATGACATCTTGGCATTAATGTGGCATGACAAACGAAATGTCACACCATAACGAAATGAAAGACAGTGGCAAGGTGGATAGTGTGACAAATGAGCCTATTCTAAAACTAGTGATAGTGATTGACTACACACAAAACATGCATTTGGTTGACAAATGTGACATGCAAATTGCCTTTGCTGATTGTGTTCATAAGAGTTACAAGTGGTACGTGAAACTTTTCTTCCATTTCATGGACATTTCAATGCTCAATGCAAGTAATATGTACCAAATGAAGACCGGCAACAGACCACCATATGGTGACTTTCGTTTATCTGTCATCAGACAATTAATAATCAAGTACCAGGTCACAATACCTGCTGTATTGTGACCTGTTTGTTCACAAACAAAATCATCCTGGAGTCCTCTAATATCTTCATTAGAATGAATTGGACGGCCTATTTTGGTGTCAGCAAATTTGCTCATGTCACTATTTATTCCCTCATTTCTGTCGTTTATGTAAATTGTGAACAAGAAGAAGCCCAACACTGACCCCCCTGTGGAACACCACTTGTGATGTGCCCCCATTCTGATTTCTCCCCATTTATGCAAACTCTCTGCTGCCTATTTGTCAACCATGCCTCTACCCAGGAAAAAATTTGTTACGCTATTCCGTGTGCCCTAAGTTTCCTCGATAGCCTCTGATGTGGAACTCTATCAAAAGCCTTACTGAAGTCCATATAAACAATATCATATTCATTACCATGATCTACCTCCTCAAAAACCTTAGTGAAGATAGTAAACTTGTAAGGCATGAATGCCCTTTTGTAAAACCATGCTGAGATTCATTAATCAATTTATGCCTTTCAAGATGGCTATGATCAAAAGAAGTGGCAGATGCAGTTTAATATAGACAAATGCAAAATTCTAAATGTTGGATAAGAATATAACCATGCCACATATAAACTAAATAAAATAGATCTTAATATTATGGATTGCAAAAAGGATTTAGGAGTTCTG